TGGAGCAGCTGCGGCTCCTGGTGTCCCTCAACGGGCAGTCCCTGCCGCTCCTCCTGCCCCCGGAGGTGGCCCAAAAGTGCCCCTGGCTGCGGGGCGGCCGCTGAGGGCGGGGGGCGAGGGGGGGCGCTAACGGCGTGGCCACCCCGTTAGTCGTACCTCCAGCCACCACGGTGTCTGCCTCGGCCCTGAGCCGCGATGGCTCCGGGATAGCTCCTCGTTTGTGCTCCGTGGAGTTGATGTAAGGTCTGATCAACTAAGCATTACTGTCATTTTTGTAAAGGTTTAAAAATCGGGTCACGTTTCGCACGTGATGTTACTGTATGTCCGTTGCACTGTCCCTTTGCTGTTTTTTAAAATCCAGCATGTAAATAATATACAGAATCTCAAGTACTGTGTTATTTATTTGGAGGATGGTCCGAAAAGATGATGATGGAAGGGCCAAATGAACGTTGAATAAACTCATTTCTAATTGTCACCTGTATTCGTTTATTTGCTGGTGGTGGGAGTACACAGATGGGAGAGAAAACACATCGGCACTGAACGAGTTCACCCAAACAGTTAACTCCAGCCCCCCCCAATAATTATGCCCAGTGGTGTCATTCCCCATTTCAAACTGGCAAGCGCTGGCTTGGTCATGGCTCGCGAAAAAAAAAACCCAACCAACCAGCCAAAAAATTAGATGCACTGAGCTAAGTGTAGGAAAACAAAACGCTAAGTAATAAACCAGCTGGTTATTATTTTTCCAGCAGGTCTGTAATCCAGGTGCGTATTCCAAACCAAGTTGGCACTGGAGAAGAAAACAGTCATAATATAAAATATTTCATTTTCTTCATTTTGTTGCCTGTGTGTTTGCGCACAGAAGTGATGTGAAAAGAGCATATACGCATCCAAAGTTGCCCTCGGGAGTGCTCGCCTTGCAGGGCAGCAGGGAAGGGCGAAGGGCAGCCTGGTCAGCGCTCCGAGCCCCGCCTGGCGTCGGGTCTTCAAGGGCAGAACGAGCAAAACTTGCCCAAACCAGCAGAAAATACCTACGAGCCCGTCACAGGAGGCGAAGAGTCAGTTTGTCCTCCCCCAGCCCCGTCGGTGGTTTCAGCA